CGGGGCAGGAGGCTGGAGGGTCACCTACCCCTAATGGCCGGCTTCGTCCCTTCCTGAGGGTCAGTAGGCTGGAGAAGGCCCCGGGTGCTCTGGGCCCAGCTGGGGCACTCTGGGCTGGGTGACTGTCAGGACTATGGTCACTGAGTTGGTGGCGTGGGCCGCACCCCCAGGCTCAGGCCCCTCTGTGCCAGGCCGGTGGCAATGGGGAGCCTAGGGCCCTGCGGGTGCCGTGTTACCCTCTGCCGCTGCCCTGGCCCTCCCTTTGTGGGGTGTCCCCACTTCCTGGTGGACAGTCCACAGTGAGCCCCGCTGTGGGGAGCTGGCTCCTGGAGGTCCCTGGGCGTGGGACAGGCAGGCGCCCGTGTTGGGCTGCAGACCTGGTGTGGGCCCGGTGGTGAGCAGCGTGGGGAGCGGCGCTGGAGTTGGGGGACAGTGGGCTGTCCCTGGCCACAAGCTCTCTGACGGCTAAGGGTGTGGGTCCCAGGGTCCCCCAGGGCCCTGTGGAGGAGGAGGGTGCTGGCCTAGGGCCGCCCCCGCCGGCTGACTCGAGGGAGGGGTTCTGAGCGACCAGCCCYGGGAGTCCTTTGCCCAGCCAGGCTCAGGAAGGGTTTGTGTCCCACTGAGAGCCGCGTGGGGGGAGGGAGGTGACCATGGCCTGGGAGGGCGCGTGTGTGCCCACATGGTRGGTGGACTCAGGGATGTCTCTGCTGTCACAGAGTGGCCCTGCCTGGCCACAAAGAGGACACGGGCTCTTTTTGTGCTGCAAGGCCCTGAGGGGCCTGTGGCTGATCTGAACTGAGTGGGGACACACGGGGACAAGTGTTCTGATGACTTGGAGGCGGCTGACTGTGGGGCATCTGCTGACTTCCTGCCCCAGGCCACCTGACAGACAAGGAGGGGACAGGCTGAGAGGCGGACACCGAGGGCCCCCGCAGGGTGGGGCCATGAGGGGTCCCGGAGCTGCTTCCTCATGAGACACGGGGACTGCAGGGGGGGGCCGCAGAGGGGCCCTGTGGCTGGGACCCCCAGGAGTGACGTCGCGGGTGCCCTGGGCCCTAGGACGCGGCTGCAGGGAGTTTATTTCAGGGCTCTGACGTCCTTCAGGGTGGGAGCCTGACAGTCCCGGGACASGACAGCCACGTCGGTGACCTCCCAGCCTCCACACTGGAAGCTTATCTTGTTCCCTGCCCCTTATCTCCGCCGCAGGAAGCCCACGTGAGCGGCTCTGAGTGTCCGAGTACCGGGACCGGGTGACACCACACGCGCACAGCCAGCCCACATCTGGCCCGCTCTGCAGCCCCTGTCCCTCCCAGCACTGCCCGCCGGCCACTCCAAGGCCACTGTCCCCGTACATGTCTTGGGTAAGCTCATCCCAAGGCGGGGCCCGAGTGCAGAATCCAGTGCCAGTTCCACGACGCGGTGGCCGCACAGCTCAGGGCCGCTGAGGCCTCTGCTTCTCCACCTGAGCAATGGGGAGAAGTCACCCTGCACCCCTCCTGGCTTTTCTAAGACTCAATAGGATTCCACCCCCTCCCCCACCCCCCTCCCCCACACCCCTCCCCCACCCCCCTCCCCCACACCCCTCCCCCAATGTCAGCGCTACCTCACCCAGGGTCATTGTGTGCCAAACAAAAGAGCTTGACGGGGATTACATATTCAACAAATATTTGCTGAGCACCAGCTGTATGCCAAGTGCTGATCTAGCCATTTGGGATGGAGCGGTGGCCAAGAGTGAATCCTTACTCACAGAAGGCATGTATCTCAGTAAACGGAAATGGAAATTTATAAAATAAAAGAGTAAAGGACTATTCTGAGATGGTGACAAGGACTAAGAGAACGTCAAGGTGAACAGGGAGGTGGGCGCTGCTGAGGAATGGGAGATAGTGCTGCCATTTCAATCATCTAATCCTCACAGCATCTCGGTGTGGTAGATCTTAATCCTTTGAGGAAATTGAGGCACAGAGAGGCTAAGTGAGTTGCCCAAGGCTGCACAGCAAATGAGCAGCAGAGCTGGGAAGGTCAGAGGTCTGCGTGACTTTTGAGCAGTATGACCAGAGGCCACTCCCTCTCTGTGGCCGCCTTTGCCACATCTCTTGGTCTAGAGAGAGAAAGTGGTTCTCTTCTGATACTGATGCTCAGTGAGTCTTTCTTTAACTATAACCCAGAGGTGCCAGGATAAGCTCCACYAGTCCCTGGAGAGCCACATGGTCCCCCTTGTAGGGGGACAGTGAACAAGATGGACAGTGGCTTTCTGGGTGTTGACGGATGTGGCCCAAGGTGGGATGTGCACCTCATCATTGTTTCCACGGGGCAGTTTGTGGGTGCGAAATACTAGGTGAAGTGTGGTCAGATTAACAGAGGGACTTCCTTATCCTAGTCCCTGGCTAGTCTTTTTGGCTTTTTATTAAGAAGAGCTGATCAAATAGCTCAGCGGGCGGCGCTGTGCTGAGGGCTGACTCTGCCCGCACCCCACACCTTTGACATTTGGTACGTATTTGTTTACAGTCACCTCTAAAGGTGAGTTCAAGACMCCTCATCCCCTGCCTTTAAAGGACAGGAGAGTCCCCTGCATGACTGACACGCCTTCATCATGCCTAGGAGACGTCGAAGCGCCCAACATCAGCTCAACCCTCCATGCTCACATCTCCCTGGTTGATCCCCAAAACACCCCTATTCCCATGCCTGTCCTGAAAGGGAATCCACCCAAGGATCACAAGTTGTATTTAAGTGTCATTTCTTTGTATTGGGGGGTATAAAGGGATTGAACCCAGGAGCCCCTAAAGGCTGAGCCACATTCCCAGCCCCCCCACTTGGTTTTTGAGACAGGGTCTCACTAAGGTGCTCAGGGCCTGGCTAAGTGGCTGAGGCTGGCTTTGAGGTCAAGATCCTCYTGCCTCAGGCTCCCGAGCCGCTGGGATTACAGGCCAGCGCCACCACACCTGGCCAGGTGTCATTTCTTTTAGTCCCTTGAATGTTGAATACYGGGCGGGGGCAGGCCCTGGCGATTGAACCCGGGGGTGCTTTGCCCCTGAGCTGCATCTCCAGTATATTTTTAATTTTATTTTTAATTTTGAGGCAGGACCTCCCTAAGTTGCTGAGCCTCCATCAATGGCCCGGACCCCCTGCATGAGCCCATGGTCCCTGAAGCAGAGCCCTAGGACAGTCCCATTCAGCCTTTGGCCCTGTGTCCCACAGCTTTTTGGTACTGTGAAAAAAATACCTGAGAAAAACAACTTACAGGGGAGATTTTTGTAGGCTCGTGGCTTTAGAGGTTTCAGGCCAGGGCCAACTGGCTCCGAGCATCACGGTGGAGAAATGGGGGCTGGCCTGGGGGAGGGGCCCAGGACCAGAGGACCCCCTTCAGGACACGCCCCCAACGGCCTGCTTCCTCCAACTAGGCCCCGCGTCCTGCGGTTCCCACCCCTTCCTAATAGTCTGTTCGATTAGAACCCACCAAAGGGTTAATCCACAGAGTCCTCATGAGTCAATGCCTCTCCACGTGGGTGCATGGGGGACCACGCCTTTGACACACGAGCTTTGGAGGATGTCCCAGACCCAGGTCATAACAGGCTCCTCCCTCCACAGCACAGACAGGTTCTGCCGCCTCCAAATCCCACCTGCCTCCTTGAGAACTTGCTCACGTCCCACTCCCTGCAGAAGCCACCCTAAGTGCCCATCAGGGTCTTCCCCTTCTCGACAGCTCCGGATGCTCTAGACTCACTGCCCTGAGGGCAGGCCCAGCGTCCCTGGTCCCTACCCTGGGGTCCTCAACTGGAGAACGTTTATCTTTCAAAATTCTCATCAACTGACTGAACTCAGGCCTTTAGCAACAGGTGAAGGGGACCCAGGGAAGGAATTTGACAATCATGTCTGAGCACCTGCTATGCACTGAGGTTCTAGGATTGGTGTAGGCTGAGATGCACAGAGATGTCCCTACCAGGGGATCCCAGGCATCAGAGGACTGTCTTCCAGAATAGCATAGACTGAGTAATGTATGAAGCCCGTCTGTTTGAGGAGATCAAGGCCCTGGCATTTGAGGAGAGCTTTCTTGCTGCATCATCCCATGGTGGAAGGCAGAAGGGCAAGAGGGAGCCAGAGGGGCCTGAACTCCTCCTTTACCAAGGCACCCACTCCTGCAGTAACAGACCTGCTCCTGCAATGACAGCCTGAATCCATCCTGAAGGATGGGGCCCCAGGACACGAGCACCTCCCGTGGGGCTCCACCTCCCGGCACTGCCACACTGGGGGTTGGGTTTCCAACACATGAACTTTTGGGGACCCAATCAAACCGTAGCAGGTCACAGATAAGGGGACACTGAAGCACGAGGGTGACTGTAGGGAGGGCTTCCTGAGGAAGGGAGGGTATGAGCTAGACCAGGGGTGAGAGTCGAGAGAGGTTCGGGTCAAAGGGAGCTGGGAGTGGGGGAATCTGACATTCCTGGAACCACCAGTTTTTCCTCAGGGTCCCCATGGATCACGAGGGTGTGAGGAGGGAAGGAAGAGGGGTGCGTGTCAGGGGGCACGCTTGGCTACCTGGGTTAACAAGGCGATGCCTGTGTCAGGGGAGGAGAGGAGAGCTGGAGAGGCGAGGCTGAGGGAGGGAGGAGGCCAGAGCAGTCATTTGGATGCTGCCAGGGTGTGCAGATGAGCTGGCAGAGCAGCAGGAGAGAGAACTGGTCCTTTGACAGCAAGTCTGGGCAGACACTAGGTGACCTTCTCCTAGGACAACTGCCTGGGGCCATTTTATAGGGTGGCCAAAGAAGAGTTCAGGACATGGGACCTGTGGAGAGCTGGGGAAACGCAGTCCAGGCCAGGCCCTGAGCAAGAGGTAGGGACGATGGGGGACAAGGACAGAGGGCCCAGCCAGGGACGGATCAGGCAGGGCTCCTTGGCGATGGTGGAGTTTCTTGCGGGGGTGATGGGGAGACATGAGAGGGTTTTGATTTTCTTCGCAGCCCAGTGYCCACTTAATTCTCCTCCGTCCCCAGGTCCCAGGCGCCATGGAAAATGGACAGAGAATACCTCGGAAAGGCCGGAGGCTGGGCTCCAGTCGGCGGCGGCAGACCAGAGAGCCAGCTGATGGCCAGGATGCCCCGGTGGCCCCAGAGCCAGAGGCCTGGTCCGCCCAGGCAGATGCGGAACTGCAGGCCTTYTTCCAGGACTGCGGAGCCCAGGAGAGGGGGTTTGTCACCCGCGAGGACCTGGCGGTGAGCTCAAGGCCCCCACCCTAACTCCTGAGTCCCTCTTCTGCTGTCCCAGCAGCTCAGAAAAGACTAGGGCTTTGTTTAGACCCACGTGGAAAGGACTGATAAGGCTTCCTGGGGCRCCCTCTTCCAGGAGCATTTGCATTTTAACAAAGGAGAGGATTTTAAACCAGAGGAGAAATTTGCCAATGGTATAATTTCAGGCCGTTTATGCAGCAAAGGTTTTCCTTGGGGAGCAGTCAGAACCCTGGAAATCAAACCAGATTGATGACTATAAACTTTATAATAATAATGATAATAAGTACCAGGAATTGAACCCGGGGCACTGAATCACATCCCCAGCCCTTTTTTATTTATTTATTTATTTATTTATTTTATTTTATTTTTTTGAGCACAAATATTTTAATTGTATAAAATGAAAAAAAATTTTAAGAAGTTATCTACAGTTCTGAGCTCACTTTTATAAGGTATCACATTCACAACCTTTATAAGAAACATAAAATCATGAAAGGCTATCACCAGAAGCTCTGTAAACATTTCAGCTAAGGGCCAGGATGTTTTTAGAAGGAAACCCAAGGAGGACAATGAGTATGAAACAAGTTCGACCTGGTCATWCAAATCTTGGTGGAAGAACTAGAGCGAAAGCCCAAGCTGCTGAGCAAGTGGGAGGAGGAAAGCAAACATGGTTCAAGTAGATCACACGAGGACACCCAAGACAAAGGCTGACTTTGGCATTATCTAGGTAACCCCTGTTTTTCATCATGGGTGACTCTAAGAATAGTCCTATTGTTGCAAAACCAGTCCAAATCCTCCCGAGTTAAAAAGAAGCCCCTCATTGACTTGTTGAGTGTAGGTAGTACCCCAAGTCCTCCCAACAAAGATCAGTTCTGGCAAGAAAGCTTCAGCGTGCCTTCCTGGTGCTGTTAGTAGGATGCCTTAGGCCAGGCGCGTCCCAGCGATGCTCTGCTGGCTGAGATTCACTAGGGAGGAGGAGATTTGGTCTCATTACTCAGTTAACTTCTTGGCCTTGAAGAAGCGACGAAGGCAGAAGACCTGCCAGGTGCTAGTCCAATAAGGCAGAACAGTGAAAAGATGCTGAAGTACAGGACTCAGAGTTTGGTGACTCATTGGTATCACACATTTCCTCCTCTGGCTTCTTCACGTAGGCAGAATCATTAACAATAGATCCTGAAAGGTCTTCTAGGCTTCTTAGCTCCACCTCTAATGGTCTGAGCTTCTCGACTTTTGCCATCTCTTTGTAATTTTTCGCCTCCACTCCATGCTTCATGTCTAGGATCACGAGTTGGTCAGGGATCCGCCCTGTCCCGTTGCTCTCAAAACATACTTCAAACATGTCATGATCTTCAGTGGTAAAAGCAAACTTCCCCTTGGATGCATCTTCCTTGGAGTATAAAATATGTCCAGCAGAATCTGTGAACTTGAGGTGGGTGCGCAGGCCACCAGCGCCCCCAGACTGGTCGGCGATCTCRTAGGCGCCTGTCACGACAGGTCCTTGTGGATCTCCTCGTGGAGACACTTGCAGGAGTTCACAGGCAGATGGAAAGAGATGGCGAGGACCGAGCTGGGTCCGAGTAGGAACGGGAGGGGGCCACGCTGGGCTACAGGGCCAGACAAACCAGACATGATGCCGGAGACTTGTTCGCCACCTGGTCCCAGCCCTTTTTTATATTTTGAGACAGGGTCTTGCTAAGTGGCTCAGAGCCTCACCTGGGTGCTGAGGCTGGCTTTGAACTCGAGATCCTCCTGCCTCAGCCTCTCAAGCTGCTGGGATTACAGGCACCACTGCTCCTGGTGATGACTGTAAACTTTAATATAAGATCAGCCATGGTTGTGTGTTCCAGTAAGGAGTCTTGGGCTACGGCCCAGACCGAGATTGACTGATTTTAGTTTGCTTTCTCCTCATTCATTGCAAAAGGGCCTGTTATGGRTTGCTAGAGTCTCAAGGGGCCTGCTCTTCCATGCTGGTACTTTTGTCCTTTCTCCATCAGAATTAACCTTCAAGGCCACAATAAGGTGTAAATATTGAAATGTGATTCTCAAAAAGGTAAAAACAAACMAAAAAWAATGACTTGAGTAAATATGAAATCAATACTTATCAAAGGTCTTGACTAATTTACTTTTATCATTATTAATTAATGAGGGAAACAGAAAGATGTTTTGACTCATTCAAAGAGCCCTTGAGCCATAGGATATTTATAGGCAATTTGACAGAAAAGTGTTTAAGATTGCTGGGTTCAGTGTTAAACATAGCTAATGTCTAACAGGCCATAAATCTTTGAGGTTTTAGTTCTATTGGATAAAAATTGTTTTTGTTTTCCTTGGATAAAAATCTTCCAGGTGGCAAGTAACTTTAGTCAGAGAGATGTAGATATATATTTAGTTGTAGATGGACACAATATCTTTATTTTATTTATTTTTATGTGGTGCTGAGGATCAAACCTAGTGCCTTAAGCATTCAAGGCAAATGCTCTACCACTGAGCTACAGCCCCAGCCCTAACAGGGACTTTTAATTATAGATAAATAATACAATGATCTAGGGCTGGGGATGTGGCTCAAGCGGTAGCGCGCTCGCCTGGCATGCATGCGGCCSGGGTTCGATCCTCAGCACCACATACCAACAAAGATGTTGTGTCCACCGAGAACTAAAAAAAATAACTATTAAAAAAAAATAATACAATGATCTAAATCCCTTCTCTGGTTTAGACAATGCATGTAGTCTTCGCCTCTATGTAATATGGAAAAGATGTGCTTTCTACCTTTTGTCTTTTTTTTTAAGTTTATTTATTTATTTTATGTGGTGCTGGGGATTAAACTCAATGCCTCACACGTGCTAAGCAAGTGCTCTGCCCCTGAACCACAACCCCAGCTCCTACCTTTTTGTCTTATTTCCAAGTTTCAGATAATTTTTCTGATTGAAAATAATATCCTAATTTTTTCTTGATGTAAGAAAGATTTGATTGGGTTTGGTCTTATTATTTGCACAGGTGCAACAAGAGGATAAATTAGATTAAATTTTTGGCAAAACCAAGACTTGGTAGTATCAGGCCCATTTTAGCTTCTGTTCAGAAGTTTTGATATGAAATCGTAGGTTGGACGTTAAAAACCTCTGTAATTTGCCCTTCTAAGTGACAAGCTGTCCCAGTTTTCCAAGGACTTTGAGGGTGCCTGGAATATGGGATTTTCTTGCTAAAACTGGGAAAGTCCTGGGGAACCTGGGGAGGGTTGTCATCTTACTTGGATCCTAAGGTAGGAAATCAAGCCCAAGACACTCTCTCCAGCAGATGGCACCTATAGATTTAAGTGGCTTCCTTTCTTGTCGAAGTCCCCAATTTTTCTGCCAGGAAGTGACCTTCCTTATCATTTGGTTCCAAAACAGCTTCCTGCGAGGTCTTTGCTCACACCTGATTAAATGAGGGTCATTTTATAAAGTGACACCCCAGGTAGGGCCTTGGTTTTTTTCCTTTTTCTGGTGGTACTTGGAATTGAATCCAGGAGCGTTGTACCACTGGAATCATCTCTAATCCCTGTTTTATTTTTTTGTTTTGAGAAAGCATGTCACTAATTCACCCAGGCTGACCTTAAACTTGTAATCTTCCTGCCTTAGCCTCAAGTAGCTGGGATTACAGGTGTGCACCATCACACCTGGCTCACAATTGTTTTGTCCAATTATATCCTTGTAAAAAAGTGGCCAGATTCTTTTGAACCTGCACATATAACCATATTGCTTTGGAAAGTAAGGAGCTTCTGTGAAAGCATGGGTTTCTAAATCGTGAGGGGGCAGTGAGATTCAGATACCATTTAAAATGTTTCATTTCSGGGGCTGGGGATGTGGCTCAAGCGGTAGCGCTCTCACCTGGCATGCGTGCAGCCCAGGTTTGATCCTCAGCCCCACATACAAAGAAAGATGTTGTGTCCGCTGAGAACTAAAAAATTTAAAAAAAAGAAAAAGATTTCAGATCAGCGCTGAGAATATAGCTTAGTCAGTAGAGTGCTTATTTAAAAAAAAATAAAATAAAATGTTTCATTTCCATTTACAAATGTCTGATGTACCAAACTGAGGATTAGAAACAGCTCAAGAAGAAAGAGAAAGAACTTCCTCCCAGGTCTATTAAAGCAGAATAATAATAAATAGTGATCAGCCATCTTCCCAACCCATAACCACCACCAGATTCCCTGCAGCTGTTCATTCAGAGCCATGCCATTAATTTGGGTTCTGCTGGATCTTGGATAAGCTGTCTGCATTTGGACTCAAGAGCCCTGCAAATCCTCAGGCCATCAGATCCACGTGAAGGTCATCCAATGTCAGCCCAGAAGCCGGTATCCAAGTGAAGCATCAATAGCTCTGGGACAGTCCTTTTTCTTTAGTCTTTGACTTTTTCCTTGTTGAAGACAAAAGCTGTGACCTGCAGATCATAGCAGAGCCTTCAGGCAATCCGAGGAAAGCAGAGACCTGTCTAGTACAGACAAAAAGGCTGTGGTGATTTAGTAGAGGAGCTAACAAGACCCGAGCGGAGGAGAGCGGAACACCCTGCCAGGGGACACGCAGAATTATTTCATAAAGTTTTGATCAGTGCCTCCCCCTGAAGACAAGAACATATCGTGGGTAGCAAAGGCTTTGAGAAATCTCCAGGGTCTCCCCCACAGAGCAGGACATGGCTGAAATATTTATCTTAATAGCATTTTGCCCGTGTAAATTTAGCCTGGGACRGGAGGGATGTCGATTCTGATTTAGCAGGTGTTCCCATGATGCTCCTTATAATATGTATTGAAGTATTTAGGAAATACAGAGAAAGATAACCTCAATATTTTATTTTATTTCCTCCCCTCCATTAGGGGAAGCAACATTAAAAGAGCTGGCAGAGAACACCTGAGCCCTAGATTAACATAGGATCCTGGGACCCAGAAATAGCAGTGGGTCACCTAACTTAAAGTAATAGTAGAATAAAATATTTTGAAATAAACATGGGAGAAGGTAATGTGATTACAAGAAAAATGAGCTCTTTCATAAGGGAGGTGACTTTGCTTGTTCTTTAAAAAATTAGGATATGGTATAGAAAAAACAAACCAGAAATTATTGTGGTGAGATAGAATCTGTTACCTATGTAGCTTACACAGAGAAAAATAGTCCCCACCACCACTSCCCCCCCCCTTTTTTTTTTTGGTACTAGAGATTTAACTAAGGGGCACTTAACTACTGAGCCATATTGCTAGCCATTTTTATTTTTTTACTTTGAGACAGAGTCTCACTAAGTTGCTCAGGACCTCACTAGGTTGCTGAGTCTGGCTTTGAACCCTCAATTCTCTTGCTTAAGCCTCCCAAGCTGCTGAAATTACAGGCATAGGTCACCATGCCTAGCATAGTCACCCATTTTGAGCCCTTGCTGMGAACTCTGAGACCAATTTCGCATTTTAATAGAGATGGAGCCAAATTCTGGTTTTGCATTAGTAGAATATCATRGCCGTTAATGTTCCATGAGTTTTTGTTTATTATGATTTTCAAACCCATCCTAATGAAACCAATTTGGCAAAATGTTAATACATTTCATAGCTGATTTCCAGGCATTATAAATTAGGGCAAATAAAACTGCTTTCAGCAAACCTTCTCTATCTATTCACGTTTTGTCTTTTTATCCTTTTTTTTTTWAAATTTCAATATTTATTTATTTATTTAGTTTTCGGCAGACACAACATCTTTGTTTGTATGTGGTGCTAGGGATCGAACCCGGGCCGCACGCATGCCAGGCGAGCGCGCTTCCGCTTGAGCCACATCCCCACCCAGTCTTTTTATCCTTTTATACAAAAGGATAAAAAGTTATTCCATGTTCTGGAATAACTAGGCACTGTCAGCCAAAACCTCTTGCCTGATCCCTTGGAAAGCAAAACCACATTCCATTTTCCTTATAGACACGACTGTGTTTCTGTCACTATTGCTCTTAGTAGTGTCTTAAGCGTCCAGAGGGATTAATGCTTTTAATCAATGTAATTAACTTCTGTTTCTTAGAAAGAACTGAGGGTAAATCATCAAGAATTATCCAACACAACCCCTTGTATCCGTCTAGCAAAGCTCTCCAAGACACCTAACACAGCTTTCTACAGCCGCACGTAGTTGTTATACTTTTAAAAAAATTGTGATAAGGTGGACATAACATAAAACTTACCATTTTAGTCATTTTCAAGTGTGTAGCTCAGGGGTATTAAGTGATTCACACTGTTGCACAACCCTGCTGCACCATCCATCTCCAGAACTTTCTTTCATCTTCCCAAACCGAAACTGTGCTCACGAAGCAACCGCTCTCCTGCCCGCCTCTCCCCACCCCCCCGGTGGCCTTATTCTCTTTTCTTTCTTTCCTCCTCCTCTTCCTCCTCCTCCTTCTTCTTCTTCTTTGTACTGGGAATTGAACTCAGGGGTGCTTAACCTCTGAGCCACACCCCCAATCCTTTTTATATTTTATTTTGAGACAGGGTCTCACTGAGTTGCTTAGGGCCTGGCTAAGTTGCTGAGGCTGGCTTTGGACTCTTGATCCTCTTGCCTCAGCCTCCCGAGCCACTGGAATTACAGCTGTGTGCCACCACACTTGGCCCTTATTCTCCTTTCTGTCTGTGTGAATTTGAGCACTCTAGATACTTCAGTGGGATCCTGCAGTGTTAGTCCCTTTGTGACTGGCTCATTTCACTTAGCATAGTGTCCTTACTGCTCATTCAGGTGGAATTCTCTGCCTTCTTAAAGCTGGGTGCTATTCCATTTTACATGGATACCACATTATCCACTGATGGGCATTTGGGTTGCTTCCTGTGTGAGGCTGTTGTGGGTACTGGTACTGTGGGTATGAACATGCAAACGTCTGAGTCTCTGCTGTCCCTCACACAGTTTTTTCTAAGTGGCAAAAATGAATTCACTCATTAACATGACCCAAGATACGGAGACCTTCTAGCACATGCGAAAACAGGCAGGAAAGGATATAAAGTTAAAGTTATGCTTAGCAATCAACAAATGTAGTTCAGTAAGCTCAATATTAAAATTTTCTGTGAAATTATATAAGTAGGGGCTGAGGCTGTAGTTCAGTGGTATAGCACTTGCCTAGCACATGTGAGGCACTGGGTTCGATCCTCAGCACCACATTAAAAAAAAATAAATAAAGGTATTATGCCCATCTACAACTAAAAATATATTTTAAAAGAAATTATATAAGTAGCCAAAAATTATTTGTTAATGTAATTGAATATAAATTCAGGCTCTTAAAGTTACCTGAGTATTTGGAAATTGTGTTGAAGATGAGACACTATAGGCTGGGTGTTCAATCCCCAGTACCTGGGGGTGGTGGGGTGGGGAAGAGGATACACTATAAAATTAATACTATTACATAAAATGTATTTGTTAGAATAATGGATTCATTTATTTACATTTTTATAACCTTACACAATAACAACACACATGGTTAAGGATGATGTTGGCATATTTCATCAGTAAGATAATGAAGTGAAAGCAATTCAGATTAATTAGCTTTCTCACAAAAAGCAAATCAAGATCTTCTAAAATACAGAATGGACACCTGCATTATAGTTAACATAAAGCAGAGAAAACACAGATAGCTATTATTTGCGTTCTTTAAACCAAAATTAACAAATCAGTTTAATTTGTTCTATAATCCACCTTAATTATGGCTAGCTCTTTAAAATTTATTTTGAGTTAGCAGTTTCTATAAGATCATATTTTAAAGTGTAGCATATTTATAACACTAGAATTTCAGTGTTCTTATTTTCTATTTTGAGAAACATATTTGTCTCTGTAAACCAATCTTTGCTGAACACTTTCAAGAGACATATTACCCTAAGTTATTATTTCCTCCCACAGGTAGAAAAATATTGCAGATTCTCAATAAGCGTTAAAGGCTTTTCTGAATTACGGACACATGTGCACACGTGCACACACACACTCACACACACAGAGTCCAGCTTCATTTCTACGATTCCACCCATGGGTCAAAAAGAAATGCAGAGACACAAAAACTCACCATCTCAGATCTCCAAGAGCTGTCCTCCTTCCCTGTGCAGAGCAATTCTTAGCCAATTTGACGTCACAAGTAGAAAAACAAACAACAAAAAGATGAGCAAACCAAATTTCTGTTATCTCTCCACCAACAGGCGCTTGGTCTCCACCATGCATCCCAACTAGGCCACGAAATCTCATCCCCATCACTGCCGACACCAGCTGGGAACAGCTTACCAGCAACATGCCACCCAAAATAAAAACACAAAATCAGCAAAAGGAAACCAATAATCAGAGGAACAGAATTGGCAGATTCAAGGTTCTGTTATATTTGGATTCCTTCTGAGACTCAAAAAAGAAACACCTGCTGGGGTTGTGGCTCAGTGGTAGAGCGCTCGCCTAGCATGCACAAGGCACTGGGTTCAAGCCTCAGCACCACCAAGTGTAAAATAAAGATATTGTGTCCACCTAAAACTAATAATAATAATAATAATAATAATAATAATAATAATAAATAAATAAATAATAATAATAATAATAATAAAATAAAAAAAGAAACACCTGGATTCCAAGAGCCCATGAGGTATCTGGCAGTGTAGGGTACTTGGCTCTGCCAGGTGAGTCCCTTAGATGGTGGATCCTCTAAAGAAAATTAAAGGATAACTTTCCAAAAGGTGAAATCTCATGACCTATAGGCAAACATAAAAACATGCACATCAGAGATGGACACAGTGGAGCACATCTGTAATCCCAGCGGTTTAGGAGGCTGAGACAGGAGGATCACGAGTTCAAAGCCAGCCTCAGCCACTTAGTGAGGCCCTAGCAACTCAGTGAGCCCCTGTCTCTAAATAAAATATAAAAAGGGCTGTGGATGTGGCTCAGTGGTTAAGTGCCCCTGGGTTCAATCCCTGGTACAAAAAAAAAAAAAAAAAAAAAAACCAAAGAACTTCATATCAGAGACTTAACTCATTAATTAAGGTCAGGAATGATTCAAAGCACATTTAAATAGCTAGGCAATTAAACAAAAGCCTTAGAACCAGATTGCTGAGTTGGATTTTTAAAAGCTGGTTAATGTTCAACAGGCCATAAATCTTGGAGTTTTCTGTTCCATCAGATAAAAACTATTTCTGTGTCTCCTGGATAAAATCTCCGTGTTGACATGTGACTTCATGTAGTCAGTCCCATGACTTGAACTAGGTCCACCTCCTAGTCTGGAGGACGTGTGGGTGGCCCTCGCTCCTCTGTGACACTGAGGGGAGGACGTGCTGTCCACCTTTGTGGCTTATTTTCCAGTTTCAGATCATTTCTAGACACTGAGGAACACGTCTGGGGAGGATTAGTGGCTGTCCTTTATCGAGGTCCTGAAGGGCTGGGACTCAAAGCAGACTGGATTTTGGAGGGGGAGAGGGAAGAGGCTTGGGGCCTGCTGGAGCTGCCTGGGGTGATGCTGGGAGCCCCGGGTGGGGGGTTGGGAGAGCTCTGAAACGGGGATGGGGAGGGGGCTGGAGGTAGCACCCCCCTTCTGGGGGGGACCCGCAGCCCCTCGCTGTGGGAACAGCCGCCCAGCTCATGCCTTCCCTCCAGGAGGCCAAGTTCAGTTTCCTGGCCAGCCAGGAGGAGCCACAGATGATCTTCGACTGGGTGGACGCGGAGCAGAGGGGCCRCCTCTCCCTGGAAGAATTCGGCTCTGGACTCAGTACGTCTGACCTGGGAGGGCCCYGGGGACTTCCCCAGAGGTGTGCCAACCGCATGTCTGGTGGCTGGGTGACCCCCACAGCGCCCCTCCCATGCCCAGCAGTTCAGGGCCCTCCCCTGCACAGGCCCAGAGGCCTCTCCTCAGGGATCCRTTAAAACCTCTCCTCTGCCCTTAGGCCACAGGCAGGTGTCCACCTGGGGGAGGTGACAGTGCCTGCTCTGGGGAAGGGAATTCTCGGCCCCAGGGCATTTAGAGGGTGGGGCCCCCTGACTGGGCAGGGCCCCTCRGCACCTGCCTCTCAACATGAGCCTAACAGGACTCTGAGAGCTGAGGTCACGCTTCTAGGAAGCAGAAAACTTCTGGCCCAGGGAATGGAAGGCCATGTCCTCCTTCCCGAGTCCCCCGGCCTTCAGTGTCCGCACAGCCATCCAGAGCTCCAGACCAGGGGTTGGCTCCGAGCTCGGAGGAGAGCAGAGAGGAAGGCCAGGGGTTTGCATTCCTGGCTGGAGCCACCCCGGAGGTGGCTGCTCAAGTTCTGGTGACTGGGAAGCTAAGAGCGGCAGAGAGTTGGCACGTTGGCTTTGCGACCTTGGCTAGAAGGTCAGCTCTGCTTCTGCCTGATTTAGACACCAGCACAGAGTAGGTGCTCAGTAAAGATTCTTCAACGGAGTGCACCATCTGCTGGCTTCCGGGAGGTGCGGTGTGCATTCCAGCAGGTCTTGGGGTATCTCTGAGTGTCAGGTGACCTGGAAGACGGCCAGTGCCTCCGTTCGGTGGACTGCCGAGGTTGCCAGAGGAACACAGAATGAGGACCTGGATGAATGTGACGGGCACAGGAACAGTCCTCCCTCAAGGGCTGGAGAGGGGCGGGGYGGGGGCCAGGGCCCACCCACCTGCTCCCCTTTGTCCCACAGGAACCGTCTTTGGCTCCAGCCTGAGCACCCCTCGGCTCCGCAGAAGGCGGCCGCTGCCCGCTCGGGTGTCCGTGGCCACTAGCTTCCCTGCGCTGGAGGAGGCCGACGCTGAGGAGAGGGATGCATTCCTTGCCCTCATGGGGCAGCTGGGGACCAGCCCTGCCCTTCCTGAGTAAGGCCACGGGGTGGGGCGAGGGCGGCCCTGGACACAGAGCCACAGAYGCTGGGGGCAGATCCAGCCTGGTCACCTGCCGGCTTGTGACCCCGGGGTGGCTGACCTCTGACCTCTGTCCCCTGGTGGTCCAATGGGGAAGCTGCTGTGGGGTGGAAGCCTGTGCAGAGGATGCCCGGGGTCACCTTCCCCGCCCAGAGATTGGGGTGTCAGCCTCCCGTGAGTGCTGGGAGCGCGTCTCTCCTGCTCGGAGAGAAAACCTCTRGTGTCTGTCTTCACGACTTAATTAACCATCCTCGTGGAGCAGAATTGGCTGAGCACCYGCCGTGTGCCAGGTCCTGSGCTGTGCTCTCAGGGTGCATCTCTCACTCCCCAGTGACCTTGCCAGGCAGTATTGCCCTCCCCGTTTACAAGTGGGCCCAGAGAGGGTGTGATTTGCAGAAGATCACACAGCTCCAGAGTGGGAGAAGACAGGAGRCCGCTGGACGCCCTGGCTCACAGTCATGAGGACCAGGGGAGAGGGCGCCTCTGGGACAGGTTCCTGGAGGAGGTGACGTTGGAGTTGGGCCTTGAAGGCTGTTGCTGGAGTTGGTGCCCCGGGCTCTGGGAGTGTTGTTGCCAGGAACACGGAGGAGCAGGGTCCCCTGCTGCCCGGCCCCTATCCCTGATCTCCGGTGGCCTCCCCTCCCCAGGCAGGCGGAGCTCTGGCAGCTGTGGGGGAAGCTGCGGCAGGAGGAGCCCCAGCTGGCGGGCAACCTGGAGGCCTTCCTGGCCAGGATGAGCGGCCGCCTGCAGGAGGTCAGGGCTGACCGGGAGGCGCTGGAGCTGACCCTGAGGAAGTGAGTGAGTGGGGACCTGCACTCGTCCCCTGCGCTCTCTGTTGGATGGAGTCCGATCCCGCTCCTCCTAGGGCAGGCCTCGGGCTGCACTGGGGGCCAGGGCTTCAGGAGACTGGGAGGACTGTCCATCCTTCTGCAGGGGAGAGTGGCAGTTTGTCTGGTGCCGGGACACCCCCAGCCCAGTCCAGGGATACCCCAGCCCAGTCCAGGGACACCCCCAGCCCAGTCCAGGGTCACCCCCAGCCCAGTCCAGGGACACCCCCAGCCCAGCTGCAGGGTCACCCCCAGCCCAGTCCAGGGACACCCCAGCCCAGATGCAGGGTCACCCCCAGCCCAGTCCAGGGTCACCCCCAACCCAACTCCAGGGTCACTCCCAGCCCAGTCCAGGGACACCCCCAGCCCAACTCCAGGGTCACCTCCAGCCCAGCTCCAGGGTCACCGCTCACCCAGACTGCAGAGTGTGCAGTGACTCCAGGCTGGCAAGGTCACCCTGCCAGAGGGTMTGAGCGAGGGGCAGGGGTTGTTGACCAAGGAAGGTGGGACCAACGATGGGGCCACAGGGACCATGTGACAGGGGAGTAACCCGTGTTAAAGGGCTCAGATGGCTGTTCCCAGGGTGACAGGGGACCGTGACTGCTGGAGGGGTGAGGCGAGTGGTAGGACAGGCTGGCCCTGGCTCGGTCTGCCCCGGCAGCAGGGGCCCCCAGGTGCTGAGGTCCGGGCGCCCGCCTCCTGCCCYCCTCCAGGCGTGACTCCGACCACCACCGCGAGGTGCACCGGCTCTACGAGGAGATGGAGCAGCAGATCAGCAGGGAGAAGCGGCAGCTRCAGGCCGAGGTGGGCACCGCCTGGCCGCCCTGCCCAGCTCCTGCCCTGGCTGGGCACTGGGAGCGCAGAGCTGCCGTCTCCAGGGCCAGCTCCCTTCTCTGGGTCTGGGCCTCCTTTTGTGCAACCTGGGATCCTGAGAACACTCCTGGGGCCTCCTGGCCTCCGAGTCGGGGGCCGGGCGGGGGCCAGGCGTCGGGAAGGCCGTCCAGCCCGTTGGCTCGGGGAGTCTCAGGGCAGGGCTGGGCCGTCTTCTCCACAGAGCGACTCCCGGGGCCTGGCCCTCAGCTCCCAGATGCAGGAGGTCCTGGAAGCCAAGGAGCAAGAGGTGCAGAAGCTGGCCCAGGGCCAGAGGGAGGTGAGTGACAGGGACGTGCAGACGCCCCCCGACGAGGAGTCCCAGACTCGGACACCCATCCTGATGGGCCTGCCCTCCGTGCTCCCTGATCCTGCCTGGACAGGTCAGCCTGGAGCCACCACCCCACTCTGAGGATTCACTGGGCCAACGGGGCTCCCCCACAAGCCCAGCCCCTGGGAAAGGGTGTCCCGGGCCCTGTTCTGAGATCAGCAGTGAGTGGAGCTCTGAGCTCCRTCACGAGGTCCAGGTTCAGACCCCAGAGCATCCTCCAGTGAAGATCCATGCAAACCCGAGGAAATGGCTTCTCCTGGCCTCAGTCTCTCCACCTGTAAAATGGGTGGCTGCGTCCAGGGTGTCCCCTAGGAAGGCGCCTTGGGTCAGATGAGGTAGTAGATGGGAAGGTGCTTTGGACTGGGAAAGCACTGGGCAAACACCAGGTCTTGTTGTGGGAGAAGCCTGGTGACCAGGTGGAAGGTGGAAGTTCATCTCATCTGCATTGTCAGCTGAGTGACCTCTGTGGGTGCTTAACATCTCTGAGCCTCAAGGGGCCATTTTATCTTGCACCCTGTACCCCCCACCCCCTGCCATTCTTCCCTCCACCCCACGGTTCCTTATTGGGCACCTATGATGTGCTAGACGCTGCTCTAGATTTTGAGGAACACGGGAGACAGACCCCTGCCTGTGGAGCTACCATGTAGTCAAGGGGACAGGTGACAAAATGCACACGTATAATCTGACAGAACACGAGAGAGGTGGGTGAGTGCTGAGGAGGTACTCAAGCAGGGAAGGGGGCTGGAAGGGTGGGGAATTTTAAATGAGTTGAGAGGGGTGTCAAGGAAGGCCTCCCTCAGATGATGACATTGGAGTGCAGACYGGAAGAGTTGTGGGCTGAGTCTTGTGGTCACTGGGGGAAGAGCAGTGCAGGCAGAGGGAGTGGCAAGTGCAAAGGCCCTGAGGTAGGAATGTGCAAGGACTGATGAGCAGACCTGTGAGCTGGGACAGACTGAGGGAGGGGACAGCACTAGGAAAGGAAGGCAGAGACATAACAGGGGGTGTTGGGAAGACTGCAGGGTCCTGGAAGCCATTGTGAGAGTCCTACCTTCCACTCCCTATGGTCACACAATTCTTCATCTGAGCCCCATGATTTGCCATTGGGTCAAGAACGTCCCAGGTGGAGCAGCCATGGGGGTCGAGCCCAGGCAGGTGTGACACGGGCCTGCCCCTCCTCCACGCCCTGCATGTCACATGTCCCCTGTGTGGATGACAAGGGAGACAGTGAGGCCATTGAGAGACCCCCACCCCACATCCTGTGTTTCAAGCTGGTCTCCTGGAGCTTGGGCCCTGGGGCGGGCAGGGGGTTGTCCCCGATGGCCTGGGGAGACTTCCGGCCACCCTGGAGGGCGACTGTGCCTCTGCCCCTCCCCCTGGCAGCTGGAGGCCCGGCTCCATCACCTCAGTGACACGCGGCAGGAGGCCGACTCAGAGAACCGGCAGCTCCGGGAGGCCAAGCAGGACCTGGCTGGGCAGCTGGAGGAGATGCGGGGTCAGTTGCAGGTCACCAGGAGACACCTGGATGCTGCCAGGGGCCGAGTGTCCTGGCAGATAGAGGAGGAACCCAGGCAAGTGGCTGTCCTGGGACAGGGGAGGGGGACAGGGGAGGGGGACTGGGTTCTCTAAGGCTCTGGTCAGCATGCAACACACACCTACCCTCCCTCCCTGATGCTCACGGCAACCCTGCCGAGTCGAGATGACCGTGCCCATTTCTCAGCTGAGCAAACTGAGGCACAGGAAAGTGAAAGACTTGTGCCCAAGGCCATGCAGTGGGATTAAGACACGTGTGTGCAGGGCAGAAGTGCATGCACACACACA